AATTTAAATATTTTTTATTTCATATATTATTTTTATATTTGAAAAAAAAGCAGGAAGCTTGACAAATTTGAATTGCTGTATTAAGAAGGTAAATTCCTTTAGCTGTCAGCTTTTTCATAACTTTATTTATGATAATTGTTCTAAGATGTTTGCTAAATATATATTTTTGTGAAAATAGTGTTTTGCATTATTTTGCTAAAATAGCATGTTTCTTTGAAGATTAATCTTCTTCATGGACATTTATATTATTCTCAACCCTAAAGTGTTCAGGCATCCCTACTAAAGATGTTGAAAGAAAGACGAAAGACAATAAAGAGATAATTCATCTTTCACATTAATAAAAATTTCAGATGTTTTGTACCATCTCTGCCTACATATAACTCAGCAACTCTTTCAGCATTCTTTGCCACAGTTGCAGTTTTTTAAAGCTTTTTAAAAACTGCTTATGCTGTACTGTGGGCTAGTTTAGATCAGCTCTTCTTGCTGCCCTTTCTTAACTTATGAAAATCAACAAACATCTGCCTTGTGTATCCCAGGCTTTAGTTGGATACTATGTTCAGCTGTCTTTCCTCTTTACAGATTGGGTAAATGACAATGGTTGCTTTGTCTTAACATGATAACCAAAAGAAACATGCAGAAGGATGAACATTAAGAGAAAATGTTTGGAGTTTTATGAGAAGTTAGACCCAATGCAATGTTTTTTGGGGCGGCGAAGGGACTAACATTGCATAACATGAAATTGTTTATTTTAAAAAAATTCAATCATCTGCAAAAATTTTTGTAGCTGTGTATGTATTTGTTCATGTCATTTCAAATGTAAGCGCACCACAAGTTTAATTTCTAAATATAGCCGGGTGTATTTAGTTAATGTTAGAATAACCCTATAAGATAAATGAAAGTCTCATCCAATAGTTTTGTACTGATTTTTACATTTTCATTAGGATAAAATTTATGGTTGCTTTATGATGAAGTAAAGTTCAGGTTACCTCTTGAATTTGCAGGTCACAGTTTGCCATCACTGTGACATTTATTGGATCTCATTTGCTCATAACCCCTACAAACCTTCCCCTCATTTACAGAATGACTTTGGCCTCATTCTCTACTACTTCCCTTCTCTTGGAAAATGAAGGCAGATATCTGCCTCTGTTCTTTCAGCCTCTCTACACTCATGCTGATACTCTCATCCTCATCAATCTGACTTTCTAGTGAAATGCAGCTTCGTTACTGATTAGTCTTAATTTATTTTTGTTCAGCTTGAAATGTGGTTTCTACCGTTAACCATTCAGGCATAAGTAATAAAACTGGATTTACTATCTAAATTGAAGGAATGTGTGGAAATTAGAAGCTGATAGGACAAAGTTGTTTGTAATAGCAGAGTCTGGCCTGCAGAGTATTGTAATAGTTTGACTTTTTTCTACTGAAGCCAAAACCAAGTAAAAAAATTTTAAATTGAGACGAAAGGAAAAATAATTTTGGGTAAAAAGCTTTTTGGAAATCTATGGAGCCCCTAAAGGGACATGGAGGGGGAAAAAAAGAACTTTTGCGAGATCCCGCAATACTTTTGCGAGATCCCCCAATACTTTTGCAAGATCCCCCAATACTTTTGCAAGATCCTGCAATACTTTTGCGAGATCCCGCAATAGTTTTGCGAGATCTCGCAAAAGTTTATGTTTTGCGAGATCTCGCAAAAGTTTATTTTTTCCCTCCATGTCCCTTTAGCGGCTCCGTAGAAATCTAAGGTATCTAGACACACACACAGACAAAAAAAAAAAATCTTGATCCTGTGGGTTCAACAGCTGCTTCCCTATACAAGGAATAATGTTTAAGCACATATTTATTCAGTTATATTGTTTGCTGATGGAAAACAAAAATGATTCCACTCAATTTTTGTGGTACCAGATACCAAAATAGATACTTTTAAGGGTGTCTTCTTTTAATTGACAAATTAAAGCTTTAATTATGGTTCCTTTTGTTATTTTTTTCCCTTTCTTGTAGGGGTTAGATAATTATTGAAAAGGTTAAAGGGATGTATTTTAGATAAAAGGCAGACCAAGCATTGTTTTCAATTTAGGTTTAGGTTTTATTTAGGTTTTAGGGATTTATTTTAACCCCAAAATTAATTAATATTCATATTTAGTGTTTTGCAATCATGAATGATTAAACAACAGGCTGTCTTTTCTCTGATATGAACTTTGAGTTAATTCAACTTGGGACAAAATTAGGACCCAAAAGTGTCTTTTTTTAAATTGTTTTCGTAGGTAAAAAAAACACTTGTATTTGTAAATGCATCAATTCATACTTTCTCTCCACAGCAATACAAATCAAATTGTTTTCTGGTATTTATCTTTTAATGTAAAAATTTTAAGTTGCCCAGTAATCAATGCTGATTTTTAACCCCCTAAGTTCTCCCTCTTATTGTAGTTTTCAATAAGTAATTATATCTCACCTTTTCCCACTGACCTTTAAAACGTTTTTATAAACTTACTGCCTGTGTGAATGACTTTAACCAAGAAAATTATGTTTGATTAGTCATTCTGTCAGTTTTTCTTAATCTTATGTTGTTCACTAGTTATACTAATTCAGATAATTTAGCTTTTAAATTTTATTTACCCATTTTTTTCTAACATTGTAAGAATAAGAATAATACCTGAGCAAGGCAGAAGTGGTCCCCCCATGGTTTTCCCCTGTGGAGGACTTTGGGTCAAGGTTTGCAGGGCTCCATGCTCCTGTACCCAGGTCCTCCTTAGGCGCTGACATTCAGGTTGTCTCAGGTGCCCACATGCTGCTCCCTCTGGATGGACACGGGGACTTCCTGTTTTCAATAGATTGTCAATGAGAAAGCTCTTTCCAGAGCTTCCAAAACCTGGTAAAGTTACAGCCATATTCCTTCTGGTGCAGCTCTGAACCAGGACCATCCTCCTCTCACACCTCCGGTTTCTTCTTCAGCAGTTGAGCTCAGTGACACTAGATTCCCTTTTAATCCTTTGCTCGGTGACCCAGGCCAACTTCATTAAACTCTGAGGAAGACAAAAGTTTTCTGGTCTTCTTCTTTTGGGCCTGTACTTTGCTTCAGGGCTGTGATGTGATTGGCTGAGGGGCTCTAATGTGTTTCTCAGTTCAGATAAGGCTGGGGCCTTTCTGGAGTGGCAGAAGGTGGGTCTGCCTCATTCATTATGTCAAATAGCCTATTAAATGATAGACACGGGAGACAATGAGGTGCTGGCCGAAGTTTTACATGGACCAAACACTCCTCTGCAGTAGTAAATAGTTTTCTCTTTTTTCCAGCCTCCCTCAGAGCTCCTTTGTGCCTGGTACAAACCTCTCAGCAGTTCATTGGAAATGCACTTTGTTTCCCTTTTCAATGTAATCTCAGACACGTTGGTTTGTGGGTCTTTTTTTTTTTTTTTTTTGGAAAGTATGGGTCAAATGTTTCTAAATACATAAAGGTTAAAGAACAACGTCATTGTTAATTTTTCTACCCTTAAAATGGGAACATTTTATCATAGACATAAGAAACACAGTTTGGTTTAGAGACTGAATATTACAAATGATAATATATTGAGTCCTTATCACAGTTATGTGAAATGGACAATTGGAAAAAAAGCCAAGAATGAATATATATATCTATATATTTATATATATATATATCATAAGATAGAGAATTTCACCTAAATTTAATAAAAAAATCAAAATTGTAACTTTAAGCAAAAAAGCAAAACAAAAACCTGAAATAAAAATATATATCTATATGTATATATATCTTTTTTTAATTCGGGTTTTTGTTTAAAAAAAAAAGCAAAAAAAAAAGGTGTGTTTCTTTCAACAACAAAAAAACAGTGGGGTAATGATGTGTAAACTGTATAAAAGAAAGTGAAATAATTTGAAACTGGCACCTTTATTTTGAAATACTTTCTAAAAAAAAATTGCATTGCAAAAAGCAGGAATAAAGTACAACTATTTCAAAAATCAAGAAAATCTGGCTCTATTCATGTAAATACTCTTTTATTTTTAGTTATTGCCATTTCATTTTGGTATGGTTCAACCACCCTTTTAACAGTACCCAACAAATGTTCCCTTAGATTTCAATTCTTTCTTAACCATTCAAAAACATTATCATTGTTGTATTTAAGCCAGTTAATTTACTGTGATGTGACAGCAACAGATAAAAAAAATAAAATAAACAACTTTATCATCAGCTTGTTTGGCAACCAAAAGGTTTTGGTTCAAATCTGGCTGAATTTTAAACCTGTTCATTTTCTCCATGTTAAAAAACGTTCCAGTTTAATTTGAGCCAAAAAATACTTCAGATATTCTTTTTCAGAATAGAAGATATTATTGGCTTATCACTTAAATATCTCTAGATATTTAGAGAGCAGAGGGGAATGTTGTTACATGTAGGACATAACCAATGCTTGGTAGGATTTTTGTGACTCCTTTAATGTTTCTGTTGGCCTGTATGCAGCCTTTTTGGAATGCCGTATTGTCTCCTGTTTACCCAAGTTAGTGATTATCTACTGCTCTTTGATATATACAACACTATGTTTTTTTTACCCTCATCCTGACTTTTAACCTTTTACTTTACCCTCATTTACTTCTTTTGTAACCTCTGTAAGCTATTTATTGGTAACATAAGTTTCAATAGTGTTAAAAAGGCTGTTTCAGCCCGAATTTGACTGTTTGCTTCAGCTACTCCATCCAAACAGTGACTTTAAATTGTATTTTTTAAATTCCAATCCTTATTCACTGCATATTAATCATGTAAAAGCTGTTTCAGACCGTTTTTTTTTTTTGCAGCACGATGATCTTGTTTTCTCTCTAATCCTGTACTATGGCTTTTCTGAACAACGTTCTAATTTCCTAGCATTTGGAGGTGATGATAAAGGTGTTTTTGTGAGTGTATGGATGTTGGTGCTAGCTGGTAGGATTTGCCTTAACTTATAGTAAACATAGCAATTTGCAGCAGTTCTACAGGAAATTGAGTCCTTTAAAATATTTTTTTTCAAGGTTTATTTTTTTAGCAGTATACATTCAACAATTTCTATGGATCTTTTACAATATTTAGTAACTAATAGTGTCTATTCTCATAATTTTTCACTTCCACTTCATTGTATTTTCTATTGCTGTAGCTTAATAATGAGTATAAACAGAGAGATGAACTGTAACAATTTCCAACATATTATGCAAATTGCAAATTTCTTATTGCAGAAAAAAGGGAGTATATTTTATGTTATTACCTGGGTAGCAGCTTCAATCATATTTGTTGCAGTTTTCGAATAAAATTGGTTGTTTGAGGAAAACACGCTGACATAATTTTGTCAGGTTTTGCAATAAACACATCCAATGAGATGCTAGCGCAACCTTTCACACTGCAACTAATGATCCTTAGTGTGTGTGTGGGGGTGTGTGTGGATGTGTGTCTGGAGGCAGGCGTCTGATAGATCCAGTCCACGCGTGTTGATACCTCATGCTGAGCATGGAAATTGGCCCAGACAGCTCGGCTTATTGTATAATGGCCAGGGAGCCAAAGGTTGCTTGTAATCAAATTTGAGGTTTTTATTCCTCAGACTGGTGGAGAAAGCAGAGTGTTCTGTGTCTGCTAACACCGCCAGTGTTGGGAGCCTCTGTGCTCTACCTGGTTTTGTGTGGAGAGTTTGTGTTAACATGTTTAACAAACAGACCAGGGGCTGTGATGGCCCACCATCAGCCTTTTGTTTGTTGAATCATTTGGTAATATGATAAGAAAAGAGGAGAGAAGGCTGTTTTTTGGAGAGATTTTTGAAGCTCGGAGTTCAGTTTTAACTTTGACCCGCTCGACAAAACTGAAACGAAAGTGTATAAAGTGCTGCGTGACATTTCAGTTCGATTTTGTCTCACAGAGCTCCAGTCTTCTACTAAAAGGCGAAGCTAAGGGCATATATTAAGATTCAGCGCTGTGTAATTAGCCAGATTCCAATAAAAATCCCCAGAAAAGGGGAGGTTTAATTAGGCTATTCCTAAACAGTAGGCTTTAGAAGCACCCTGAAGCAAGTTCATGTGAATTTATTTGATGCCCACCTCTTGTCGAGAATGGAGGGAAAAAATAGGGGTCCCTGCATTCAAACAACTCACAATGGATCTGTTGAAAGCTAGCACTCTGCAGAGCGGCTAATGTCCCTTTTCTCTCTTTTTTTCAAACCCAGAAAAGCTCTTAAAAAGATACCGGTCCATTGCACACGCAATTGATATTCCACCACTCGAACTTAATATTGTGAATGGAGGGCCAGGTTCTATGAATCAGGTGGACAATGCGCTTAGCATAGCAGCAAACTGGCACTTTGTGTGTGGTGTCTGTGTCCCACAGGAGGAAGTTTCTAATGTGAGGCTCACAATTGTGCATCTATAGAGTTCTAATGAGCTTCTGTGTGCTGAGTGAATGGGTGCAGGCTATTCATGGTGAGGTCCCAATGAGCCAGCTCACTGCACACATTCACAATGGCATCTAGGGGGAATGGGAGGGACTGTGTGGAGCAACCGCACTGCCTCCTTGGTCTAGTAGAGCTCACCATTTGTTCATGCATACTTTGATTATAATGCGTCCACATTTGGATAGTTACATTTTGTTGGCTCCATCCATAAATGCATCAGTACATACATAAATCAATTTCTCTGTTGCAATGTCCTAGTTTTAGCCAGTCAATTACACATGGCCTTAGATGTTCCTCATGCAGACACCCTTTAATACGTGGTAGAGTTAAGGGTTGATTGTATGAGCAGGTCAGTTTGTGCTGCTGCAAAGCATCTGTGAAGCAGGACAGTTCCTGGACCAAGCTTGGTAATTGAAACCAGGGAAGCTCTACTGTGTTTATGCCAAACATGATCTTCTGTTCTCCTGCCCCGATATTTCAGTTTTAGATTAACCTGTCCAAAATTTTACAACTATATGTTATACATTATCTTTTTAGACGTTTTCTCTGGAAACGTTCAGTCTTGACTTCATTTTTCATACTTTTTTTCCTGGCATACCCCCGGTGGAAGCTTTGCTCTCTCTTTCTTATGTTCTATGAGCCAATTTTATTTTACTTTTTTTTAGAATAAACTGGGTTTGATGGCCAGACCTGAATATACTGGCAGGGATTTATGATTGCTCTAAACTTTTAGATAATTTGACCTTTTTTTTAAGCCTCTCTAAAATCTCTTAGCAAACAAAATTTCTATGTTAGTCTTCTATTTTTTTTTTTTTTTTTGGTCTAAGTTTAGTATTTGGATGACAGTGATCTTTAAGTCTTCTTCAAACTAAAGGTTTGAAATGTAAGCAAATCAAATATACATGATTGTATCACCTTAATGTGATATATTGTGTCTATTATATTAAATTTGAATAAAATACTTTTTAGTTCTAAGGATGGAAATAGTACAACTATATCTATATATGTATAATAATTTAATAATTGAACTTTATTGATCTCATATTTGGGAAATGTACCTCTGCATTTAACCCATCCCCTTGGGGAGCCGTGGGCTGCCATTGTGTGGCGCCCGGGGAGCAAGTCGGGGTAGGGGGATTGCTTAGTCCCAGGAAAAGATATATATATATATATATATATATATATATATATATATATATATATATATACAGCTGGAATTCAATACACCCCGCAACTGGCTGCTAGACTTCCTCACCAACAGACCTCAATCAGTCTGGGTTGGTCAGAACACCTCTGATGTCATCAGTCTAAGCACAGGCTCCCCTCAGGGCTGCTTCCTGGGCCCCCTGCTGTTCACCCTGATGTCACATGACTGCGTCCCCAGATTCACCACCAGTCACATCGTGAAATTTGCAGACGACACCACTGTGGTGGGCCTAATCAGAGACAACAACGACCAGGACTACAGAGAGGAGGTGGAGCAGCTGGTGGACTGGTGCAGAGATAACAGCGTGATCCTGAACGTGGAGAAGACGAAGGAGATCATCTTGGACTTCAGGAAGAACCGGCCAAACCACGCTCCACTGGTCAACAACAGCTCAGCTGTAGAGGTGGTCAACAGCACCAAATTCCTG